GTAGTGAGTGAGATAGTGAGGGAGGGCAGTGAGCGAGGTAGGCAGCGAGCAAGACAGGCAGTGAACAAGCCAGTCAGTCAGTGAGCCAGTCAGTGAGTGAGGAGGCAGTGAGCAAGGGAGCGAGCGAGTCAGTGAGCGAGCTAGCTAGTGAGGTAGGCAGTGAGCAAGGCAGGCAGTGAGCAAGGGAAGCACGCAGTGAGCAAGCCAGGCAGTGAGTAAGGCAGGCAGTGAGTGAGGGAGGCAGCAAGCAAGAGAGTGAGCAAGTCAGGCATTGAGGCAGGCAGCGAGGGAGGCAGTAAGATAGGTAGAATAAGGCCCAGGTAGTCCAGGTGGTCCAGGGTTTTAGGTTAGTGCATCCCAACCATGAGGGGCACCGCTAGTTATTTATATTATTTTATTTAGTACAGCAGTTATGTCAGGAGATCAGGTCGATCAGCATTGATATATTAATGAATGAATATATATATTTTAGGATACCATAATGCGCAGAGATATATATTATACAGTTAGTTTGTAGAGTATGTTGGCTGAATCCGTGGTTTATACGCAGGCATATATATATAAATGAGACATCAGAGACATATAATATTAACCACATTCAGGAGAGAAGTAGGCAGCAAGATAGGTAGTAAGGGAGTCAGTGACTGAGGCAGTGAGCGAGGAGGCAGGCAGCGAGTGAGGCAGCGAGTGAGATAGTAAGTGAGGCAGTGAGTGAGATAGTGAGCGAGATAGTGAGTGAGATAGTGAGTGAGATAGTGAGAGAGTAGTAGGGAGGCAGTGAGCAAGGGAGCGAGCAAGTCAGTGAGCGAGCTAGCTAGTGAGGTAGGCAGTGAGCAAGGCAGGCAGTGAGTGAGGGAGGCAGCAAGCAAGAGAGTAAGCAAGTCAGGCATTGAGGCAGGCAGCGATGGAGGCATTAAGTAAGGCAGGCAGTGAGTAAGGCAGCAAGACAGACAGTAAGGTAGATAGTAAGATAGATAGTAAGGTAGACAGTAAGATAGATAGTGTAGTCAATAGTAAGGTAGGTAATAAGGTAGATAGTAATTATAAATAGCATAGTAGATAGTAAGGTTAATAGTAAGGTAAGCAGTAAGAGAGGTAGTAATATTAGTAGATTAAGATTAGTTAGCATCCATATATCAAGTAATAGATATATATTAGGAGATCAAGGTTAATTAGGATTAATATATTAAGTAAATAAATATATAATTTTAGGATACCATAATAGCAGCAGAGATATATATTATATATTTAGTTTATAGAAATATCCAAATCCATGGTTTATACATCCATATATATATATATAATTAGGTATCAGGGGGATATCACCATAGTTAGGAGAGAGATAGTTAGTAAGGTAGATAATAAGATTAATAGTATAGTAGATAGTGAGGTCAACAGTAAGGTTAATATATAGTAGTAAAGTGAATAGTAAGGTAGATAGCAAGGTTAATAGGAAGGCAGGCAGCAAGAGAGGTAATAATATTAAGAGATTAAGGTTAGTCAGCATTATATATTAGTGAATGATATATAATTTGGGATACCATAATGCTTCGAGATATATTTATAGATTAATTATATAGATATATTAGCTGAATCGTGGTTTATACACAGGCAATATATAATATAATATTTAGCCACATTCAAAGGAGAGTGTAGGCAGTGAGACAGGCAGTGAGAGAGATAGTAAGGTAGCCAGCAAGGCAGGCAGCAAAGGAGGCAGTGGAGCAAAGCAGTAAGCAAGGCAGTAAGCTAGACAGTGAGCTAGACAGTGAGGTAGATAGTAACGTAAGAGAGCAGTAAGGGAGGCAGGCAGTGAGCAGTGAGTAGATAGTGAGGTTGACAGTGAGGTAGACAGTAAGATAGACAGTGGCAAGTAGCTGTGAGACCAGCAGCAAGACTGGAAGTGAGCATGGCAGTAAGGCAGTGAGCAAGATCAGTAAGCTAGACAGTGAGCTAGACAGTGAGTGCAGCAGTGAGAAAGGCAGTGGAGTGAGATAGTAAGACAGGGAGTAAGTAAGATAATAAGGGAGGCAGTGAGATAGGGAGTAAGTGAGGTAGCAAGACAGGGACTGAGGAGGGAGGCAGTGAGATAGGCAGTAAGGCAGGCAGCAAGCAAAGCAGTGAGCAAGGCAGTGAGTAAGGCAGTCAGCAAGATAGTGAGTGAGATAGTGAGCAAGTTAGTGAGGGGGGCAGTGAGCGAGATAGTGAGGAGGCAGTGAGTGAGATAGTGAGGGAGGCAGTGAGTGAGATAGTTGAGGAGGCAGTGAGCAAGACAGTGAGCGAGATAGTAAGTAAGGCAGGCAGTGAGCGAGTGAGGGAGGCAGCGAGATAGGCAGTAAGCAAGATAGTAAGTGAGTCAGGCAGTAAGGTAGACAGTAAGGTAGATAGTAAAACAGGCAGTAAGATAGGTGGTAAGACAGGTAGTGAGGTAGATAGTAAGGTAGATAGCAAGGTTAATAGTTAGGCAGGCAGTAAGAGAGGCAGTAATATTAGGAGATTAAGGTTAATTAGTAGTAATATATGAATGAATATATATATTTTAGGATACCATAATGCGCAGAGATATTATTATACAGTTAGTTTGAAGAGTATGTTGGCTGAATCCATGGTTTATACGCAGGCATATATATATAAATGAGACATCAGAGAATACATATAATATTAACCACATTCAGGAGAGAAGTAGGCAGCGAGATAGGCAGTAAGGTAGTTAGTGAGTGAGGCAGTGAGCAAGAGAGGTAGTGAGGGAGGCAGTAAGGGAGGCAGTAAGATAAGTAGTAAGGTAGATAGTGAGGTTAACAGTGAGGAAGACAGTGAGGGAGCTAGTAAGATAGGCAGTAAGCAAGGCAGGCAGTGAGCAAGCCTAC